CCCCCCCCCCCCCCCCCCACTGCCTGACTATTGACTAACTCACGATCTGATTATCTACCTGTTTGTGACTCATAAAAGGTCCTTGAAATATGAATGGTTTTCAATGCAACATGGTCGAAAAATACAAAACAAAACAATCATTAATAAAATCAGTTTTATCAATATTCTGTATTGTAATTATGTGGGTACAAATGTTCCTTACATTTGGTTTCTATTTGCTGTTATAGTCCTTATCAGTCAGGAAAAGACTTTCATCTTGCAGTCGAATTAAATAATGTCAGGCTACATTGCCACTAAACTAATCTTGGAGTGTGAATGAATACAATGTAGTCTCACGGCCTCATGGTTAGTGCGCTTGACTCTAGATCAAGCAGTCTGGCTTCTTGGCTAGGACAGTTTATTCTCACAGTGCCTCTCTCCACCCAGGCGTACAAATAGGTACTGGCAAATTTAATGCTGGGGGTAACCCTGTTATGGACTAGCATCCCATCCAGAGAAGAGTAGAAATATTCCTGTTTGATTCATGCTACAGAAACCGGGATAAGCTTCAGCCTGATGGGCGTCTTGGCTGGTATCCAGACTTTTATACCTATAGAATCAGACCCTGAGTCTGATCAGCTATACTAGTTGTGACTTACAGGGCTTTTATTTTCAGGATCTAAAGAGGAAATCCTAGCAAATCTTGCCAACTTTGCATATGATCCTATTAACTATGAGCACTTCAAGAAGCTCAATGTGGTGGACTTGTTTCTTGGTAAGGAGAGTGTATTAACGACATTTTTAGATGTTGGTTGAAAATGTTGAAATGTATGAATCACCTTTAAGAGATCGGGTTTCAAATTGTCAATAAAAACCAGATTACACCGTGATTGCTGTTGGTGGGGAGCAAATAGGAAACCTTTTTTCATTGCACACCTAGTTTCAAGCATTAATTCCAGTGTTTGAAGCTTTAAACTGCATGGCTTGATGCAAAGCTTAGAGTAGTCCTGTGTAATCCAAATATGAATTATTAATGCCACTGCTTGACCATTCCCATGCATTACTTTTTCTCTTCAGGTGCTGAAGCAGCTTTGTGGTCATTTTTTTCTTATGTTTTATTCCGTCATTAAAAAAAATTGCTTTAACCTTTCATCTAAAGGAAATTATGGTATTTGTATAACCAGCAGTTTTTCCTGTTAGTTCTTTATTCTGACCATTCTGGCTTACCTTTTGGTTATCAAGAGTGCATGACATAAAGTGACTTGAGATATTGTTGTAAAGTTGCTTTTTGAACTATTTTTCTTTCACTTATTACAATGTAGATATGCTAACGGAAGACAACGAGAAGTTTGTTGAGTTTGGAATTGGAGGATTGTCTAACTGTAGCCTGGGTAAGTAAATTTGTCAGTCTGTTTTTTTTTCAAAAATAACCCTCATGATTACTCAAGATACATAATTTGTACGTCAAATTTTTGTATTATTCATTTTGCTCACAGATAAGGAAAACAAACAGCACATTATTGACAATGGTGGTATCTCCTTGGTTGTCAACTGTTTGTCAAGGTACTGAAACTATGCAATGTGACCACCCTTGTTATCAAGTACCAGTAGTTTTCACTGGTTCAATCTAGACAGTTTCCATAAATGATGCCGATATTTGAATAACAATGCTATCTCTTATACATCAAGATGTAGAAAGTATTGTTATTCAAATTTTAGGTATCATTTTTGCAAAGTGCCAATGTCCTATGTTATATGTGCGTCTTGTCTACAAACACAGCATACACAAAGCTCTATCTAACATCCTTCCAAAACAAAATTGTTGAACTTTTATTTCAGAAATAGAAAACATGTACCAGGTTTCTATCGAGTTGTAGAAACACGAGTGGAAGTTCGGGAGAACGAGAAATGCTTTGGGAACACGAGCTGCAGGCGAGTGTTTCCACATCTTTTTTGAGTTCTCCCAAACTTTCACGAGTGTTTCTATAACTCGATAGAAACACAGAGAACATGTTTTCTATTTCTTTTAGAAAACGCCAGGACGAAAAAAAGGAAAACGACTTGTTAACTTTGATTGTCAAAATGTAAATTATCTTTGCTCACATCATCATTACGCCAACAGCTCATGCTAGTTCTGTGTTTCTATTGAGTTATAGAAACACGATTTTTAACCAATCAGCACGCGTATTTTCTTAGGACTGTTTTCTAATTCATTATAATGTTATTTCTACATAACAATGTGTGATGAAATTATTTTTAGCTACTTTACATATATGTGCTCTATCTAGCATGTTAGTTAAATCCTTATAGGTTCTCTTCTTCCTCATGGGTAATCTAATAACTAAGTTCACTAAAGACATTGATATGCATTATTTAGCTAAGAAAAACCAACCTGTCTCAGTTAATTTTTTTTTTTTTGCCTTTGCATCTTCAAAATTAACCCAAATTTTTTTTGCGAGTGAAATTTCACTAGTTCTTTCTCAGCCCCTGAAATTAGCCAGTAACCAGCTCCAACTGCATCTCTGCTTGATAAGTAATTCATCTCTGTGAAAACTTGTAAACTCTTTGGGTATTGTATCATGTGTATAATGCACAAATTTAAACCACTGAGGCAGGGTTATTGGATGAACCCTATTTTTTACTCACCAATGTATGTGAAGTCAGAAAAGTTGACACTCAGATCTATTTGTAACTTATTAGTTCAAATGAAGAGACTGTGTTGTCAGCCATAACCACCCTGATGTTCCTTACTACACCACAGACACAGCAAGGTCAGTCAAGTCACAGGAATTATATTATAATTAATTAATAATTGTTAATATCAATTACATTATGAGCTCAAGATTTGTATAACTTGTAAGTATAAATCTACTTAGTAGCGTTCTATCACGAATGCCGTTTTCTGATCGGCTACGCTACTCACTATCTATTTAAACAATAGAGTGTTTCTGTCGAGGAACTATCGGCTGATAGTTGCCCCATGGAAATTTGATGTTCTTAAAACAAATATTTGCCCGAGAAGCGAAGCTTCGAGGGCAAATATGCTAGTTTTAANTGTAAAATTTGAAAAAGAAAACAAACAAAAACCCTCTCAATACAAATTCAATTGTTTATTTTCTATAAGCGCGCTTGTTTACAGAAATATTTTCATGGATGAGTACTATCCATCCGGGCATTTTCCTCGGATGGGCACTATGGGCTGATAGTGTCTCTCCGCGGATGAACACTATCGTGTCACGTGATCAATTTAAACCAATAAGAATCGGAGAAAATTTAGTGGTGAACTATAATCTGTGATAGATAGTGAGTAGCGTAGCAGTGTGCCCTTGTTAACAAAACAACGGCCACTTGGCTTTCACAGTGTCTGTGAAGAGGAATAAGATAAAGTTTTGAAGTACGACTAGTAGATTTATACCAAAACAATTAGATCATTCACTCTCAATTTCTACGCGTGATAGATGACTTGGGCTGCACCCTCGTCAACTATCAACCAATAGAAATCTCGAGCTCATAATCTAATTGTTTAATAGTGGTGCTCCCACCAGATGGGATGTCAGTCCATCCCCTTCCCTCTGCAAAATGCCAATAATTTACCCCTACCCACATATATATGGGGTGGGACTCATCTCATCCAACCGGCGGGGGTAGCTATAGCATACTTTTCACTGCTTCATGCTAAAGAAAGCTTGAGTAGTTGAGCCATTTTAGCTTGAGTGCAGACTTTTCCTGTTGGAGAGCTATTGGCAATTATTGCTTTCAAATGCAATCACAGAGCAGTAGTAGGTTAAGCTGTAAATTATCTCTGCAAATGGATTTCTAGGAATCATTACAGCAGTGCATCGAATGACTAAAAACTATTTTTTGTTTTGTTATTTTTTGTTTCCAGAAATCACTTCAGAGCCTGTAGTGGACTGTATGGAGAGATTTACAACCTCTTCAAATACAAGACTTAGTAACTTGGCTAAGGTTTTCCTTCAGGTAAGGAATCCTGTCTATAGCATTGATCTAATTCTTAGGCAAAGTGAAACCTCCTAATCTGGCTACCAATGCGTGACTTTAAGTCTTACCATAAGGCATATTAACTGGGTGGCCTTGTTCAAGCATTTAAAATATCAATCATGGCTGTTAGGTGCCAATTCCTGGAGGGATATTCCCATGTAAAAGTGATCGAAAAATCAGTGATTTGTTTTGAAAATAATTATAGTTAGAGGATTGGGAGTACTTGACTTGTGAAATGTCACAACTATTTGTTTGATTTCATGACATCTCAATTTCATTGCTTGACAACTTATTTGTGGTAAACATGAAACAGGATTTAAAAGTGGCCAGCACTTACCAAGTGTTGATAATTTTCACCAAAATAAGTATAGAGAATTATAATCGTGCTGTTTATTCTGCTTGATTTTATAAGGAAATCCTTATATTATATCTTAGTTTGTTTTATAGTAGAACATTTCTGATTGACTGAAAATGGGGCAATTATGAAACAAAGCGTTTTCTGTTTTGTCATAGGATTACTGCAAAAGAACTTATTCACTTGAAAAAGAGTCTAAGTCATAAAACAAATGGTGACCAGGCCAGGGTGCAGTCAGTACTAATGTGTGGACTTTCACTACAGTCACTGGTAACCATGACATCTTGGGAAGGGCATTTGTCTTGCTTCAAAGCCTTTTCTAGTGGTGCAGTGTTCCGCTTGATTAATCAAAGGCAAAATGACTTAACAATACAGTATGCAGTGTTAACATTGAAGGTAGTCGTAAAGTGAATTAGCTGTTTGTTACTGACATTGCAGCAATCCCATATAAAAAGGACCGGTGTGCTTGTCATACCTTTTAGGGGTTAAAAAAGCAGTTTTGGTGCCTCTTAGGGATTTCAGCCTCAGAAGGTCCACAATGGGAACTTTTTCGGTACCTTTTAGGGTATTGAGCCATAATAAATATAACAGAAGATATTTGAAAATCAACTGACCTTTATTTTTTCTCTCAGAATTGGTACCTCTTTGGGGCTGAAAAAATTTCATGCCACGCCCTCAAAACAGGACCTTGGTACCTCTTAGGGGTTCTTTTCAAAATTTGCAAAGAGCTGCCATGTGCTTTTTATATGGGAGTTCCTTCCCTTCTCGAGCTGAGCAGATGCCACCTTCATCGTCAAACATCATTTAAACCGATTTCATGATAACTGTGACCTCTTATTCTCCAGGACTCAAACCATTTTACGAATACACTAAGTTGTGCAATCTGTTTTAAACAGTCTGCAGAGGAATGCTAACCATATTTCAGCTACAAATCAATGCTCGATTTTTCAATGCACTAATATTATTAATAAAAAGCGTACGTAATCTGTAAGGTTAATCAATTTTATTTTGTAATTTGGCATGGGGTTGATGTTACATGTATGCTGCAAATGGTTCAGTTCTGTTCTCCAGATGATTTATACAAACATATGACGGGTAACAAAATCAAGAAAGTAATGCCATGACAACGGGTTGACCATAAGACGGGGTTTCACTGTACTGCTATATTTTGTAAATGCCTGATGATAAGAAACGGAACACACAATGGATAAAACATTAGGAAGTGACAGGCATCAACATGAAGCACTTTGAAATTCTAGAGTGTTGATGGGCATCTCATGACATGCGATGGTTTTAGATCTGCTACAGATGCACAACCTGTTTGGAACAGAAAATGCAATAAAAGCAAAATAGGAATATTTGCTGTTAACAGGGGGTAATGTGAAACCTGATACAGAATAAGACCTTTCACTGTCTACTGGAATCTAGTGTATCACTGCAAGTTGCAGAGACGGGTTAGCTATCTGGGAGAAATAGGAGCAGGAGGGGGTATGGGAGATGGTAGAAAAAATTGCAAGGAAGCCAGAGTTGTTAGAGGGCTAAAACAGGCCGGAAAGGGCTTTTTACATCTATTTGCTGGTGCATGTTTCCATATAATTTGAGCTGAGATTTTTGCCAGTGATTTTGGGTAATCACACAAAGTTAAAGGTTCTCAATTTAAAGAGTAGTGCGAGTAAAAACTAAGTACAAACCCACTGGTGGTTAAGCATCAAAGTTACGCTTGCACTTACAACTACACTTACACTGTGTTATAATCCAACAACTACACTTTGTTATTAAAAATAATTAAGTTCTAAAGAAACTTAAACATAATGACAGATGAACCCGCAGGTAGTCTAGGCTAATCTAGGCGAGCCACATCTATGTTTATATTATTAATATGTAATAAGCTCACTATCCAACTAGTTATGGTACCTGACAGTATCATTGCTGTTTTGAATTCCTCCCTAAGAATTTCAAGGACATTAAGCACACCTGTTTCACCCTGTAACACGATAAAAGTGGATAAAATCTTGTGAAGTAATCAGGGAATCCTAGAATAGTGCATGCTTATTATTTGTGCAATTATGTTACGCAATGCTGATTTTCCGGTATGTATATGATACGTCAAGTGTGTATAATTTATGTAAACTACATCGGAAAATCTAGTCTCAAGAGAGAAACGAATTATTAGTTTCAGTTGCAGATTTTAGACCAGCTATTTTATTCTAGTTTGGAAAGATTGTCTTTACTTTCTTTGAACATTCTTATTTCGTGGAACATTTCTGATCACTTTCTAAAGAGGTCTGGATGATTTACACAGTGTACAAAGAAAGTCTTGTCTGATAGTCTGGGAGTGGTGGCTTCTATCCTTTACTTGCCGAATCCGCAGGTGAGGTTTTGTGGAGAAAAAATAAATTAATAACTTCAAATTCCACACACTGAGTGGGAAGATGTTAAAGGTGTTACATTTGTATTATAACAATATTAATATAATAAATCGTGATAAGCACCTTGGTTGCGAGTCCCCAGATGGCTGGTCTGCCAATAAAAACAGCTCGTGCTCCTAAAGCCAGGGCCTTCAGTACATCTGTACCTAGTCTTATTCCACCATCAATGTACACTTGAGCCCTTCCTTTAACTGCCTCCACAATCTCTGAACGTGAATCTACCTAAAGAAAATATTACGGTGTTTAATGAATTTAAGTCTGTGTATTACTATACGTTTATTAAAGGGGAGAGTTTCTGTTCAATGATTATCACCTCCAAACACGATAGCTTCAGATATTTGGAGGGCTACTTCTTTTAGTACGGGAAATTATCACTGACAATTCTCAAGACAAGAACGTAAATTATTCTTTGTTGTTCATTTAGAGGTAGTGAAATTAAGGCTTCACCAAAGACGTGCTGGCAGATACACTTTATACGAAATATAGCCCATCTTTACCCGTTTAATTTTATCCGAAACTGAAAGCCAAACAGCAAAAATATAAGAAAGGGTTTTCTTGAGCGAATTAAAAATGAAAGCAGGCGAAACTGGGTAATTGATAAAAGAGAGACTTGATGTCACGGGGAACATAATCCTAGCCTTTCTTAAACTCATTAATAATTCATCAAGTTTAAACAAAGGAAATCATGAACGTGATGGCGTTTGTTTGGATATATGATTACGATTATAATTCTCCATTTTCTCCTTGGTTTAGTTTCGATTGACAAGATACATCAAACACTCAAGACAATGTTTGACCACATTTCGAAACACCTCGAAGTTCGTCAAAAACACTCCGCTGCGCGTTGTGTTTTTAACTCCGTTCTCGGTGTTTGGAAATGTGGTCAAACACGGTCTTTCGTGTTTGATATATTACTTGAAAGCACACCTACACCTTTATAAGCACTTACAGTGGCAGGGACATAATCTAACTGTCTTCCACCGGTGTAGGAAACAATGACTCCATCAACTCCATATGCAACAGCCTCCCTTGCATCATCTGCTGTCAGAATTCCCTTTAGTATAATTGGTAGTTTGGTGATGCTTTTTAGCCAGTCCACAATTTCAAAAGAAATTGATGGATCAACCAGTGAGTCAGCAAAACTGTTGAAAGCCAAGCTACTAATGTGCTTACTTTGCTCAAAATTGGATGATTTCTTTGCTTCTGATAACTGGGATGCTTCAGTGTTTGGAAGGTGTATTAAGTATGGCTGTAGAAGTGAGTGATTTTGGAAATCTGTCAGCCGTTTTCCAATCACACGTCTATCTACTGAGACAACAATTGCTTTGTATCCGGCTTTCTCTGCACGTTCCACAATGTTTCGCGTCACTTCACGCGATCTTAAAATGTACAGCTGCATCCATTTGAGTGAATCAGGAGCAGCATGTGTTACATCCTCTAGAGCTGTTGATCCCACACAGTATCATGCATGTCCGTGCCTTTGCAACAGCTGCAGTTAAAACAATTCAATAGTAATATGACTAATGGCTTGTTTTGACCTCTGGGAAGTAGCCTTAGCTTATGAGAGGGAAGAAGAGTTCAGGATTTCCAGGTACTTGTACTCATCATCATGCTTTATCGAAAGCGCGTTCTTTCCCAATTGCTGAGTTCAATTTCCGATAATTTTTTTTTCACTTTATTCACATTGCATACACTACCTTACATTTACAGTATATTACCTATCTACTTACATTACAATGCTTGCTTCTAACAACACAGTACCTAAGTCTACTTATAAGTGAAGCCTTGGAGCCGAATGGCTCATATTCTGCCGGAGCTTATCCCGGTTTCTGTAGCATGAAGCGGCTAGGAGTATTTCTACTCCCCCTGGACGGGCTGCTATTCTATCGCAGGTCACTCCCCTGCAATTTGTTAGGTTTCACCAACAATTCGCCGGTACCCATTTATAATCCTGGGTGGAGAGGGGCACTGTGAGAGCTTAGTGTCTTGCCCAAGAACACAACACAATGTCCCCGGCCATGGCTCGAACCCGGACCGCTCGATCCGGAGACGAGTGCACTAACCATGGAGCCACAGCGCCTCCACAAAGTCTAATTATATTACGCTACATTTCTTGTTATACTTTAACATTGCATAGAACAACAAGTGGATTAAGAACATCAGGCTGAAAGTTGGCCAATAAAGCACCATAGATATAAGAACCAATTCAGCTCAACTTACTTAGAGACATCACTTAATTTATATGGCATTACCTACTTACAATACGTTATATGACATTAATCACTTACAATGTACTATATGCTTACTTACTTACATCACTTACTATCCATGGCATTGCCTACTTACAATACGCTGTATTACTTACAAACTTCTGTTTCTGTAGGTTGCATCATCTACTTACAGCACGATGCACAGAGAAACTATGATACATTGTTTAAGCCTTGCAAATGGACAGAAGATTAATTAATAACTGATTATTGATTATTAATGATTACTACTATCGACCATTTGCCTCAAGTTTCTCTTCTACTTGCCAGCTGCTTAGAAATCCTGATTCCAGTCCTTATTTTTCTTGCCTTCTGTAGACTTACTACCAGATTCCTGCCCCCATGTTCACCATACCACTTACCTCAAAATTACATTCGTCAACAAGAATAAAGGAGTTTGATTGAACATCACGGTAAACAATATTGCGCAATGAGTTACAATGACTTCCAATTCTTACAAACAATGTGAATACCAGCCTCCCGAGTTCTCAATGGCAGTCTAACTTTGGACAAAGAGAAGCAAAATCTCTAATGATGTTAAAATTTTTGTAGTTTTTAAAATATTCTTCATTCAAATTCCCGAATCTGATTGGCTGTCAGCTGGCCTAATTTGATCTGGGGCCTGTTTCTCGAAAGCCCCGGAAACTTTTCGGGCCCGAAAAGCCATTTTTAGTTAATCGGTATTTAAAGACTGAGAGGTGTATACGCCTGAAACTTCTTGTACGGAATGGAACCTCTGTTTATATTAAGAATATGTGAATAAAACAGCTCTGTCATTTTTGCTATACGGACTTTCCGGGCGCGAAAACTTTTCGGGACCTTCGAGAAACGGGCCCCAGGGCGGTGAATGTGCCATGCGTTTGTAACTGAACTGTTTATGGTCATGCCTGTGTAACTGTACTATATACGCAATTTGTCCGCTTATTCTGGATGATTGCACTTGAATTCTCTCATTTTCTCATGCATCTCATAAACAGATTGTTGACTTAACTCAGTGACGTCTTCCTGTCTTCCTTTATTCACCAAGAAGTTTTTTTTCAAATGTTTGTGTCATTCAGCTGTGTTAACAAGAGTTTGTGACATCACATTGAGGCAGCGTCCACGCTACGCCGGAGGAATTTGAAAACGCAGCTTTATTTCTACGGTTAGGCCTAAGGTCCACACTAATCCGTCACGAAAACGGAGCTTTTCGAAAACGCCTTTCAAACCAGCTGAATTTGAAAACGCAGGCTTTTTTTTTCGGGTGGACGGAAAACATTTTGAAAATGGATCCTTTTGAAAACGATGGCGTCAATTTCTCTGTCCGAGGTTTCCGCACACACAAATCCAAAATGACCAGTGATGGTTGCGTTTTCAAATTTCTCCGCCGTCGTGTGGACGGAAAGCATTTGATGCATCTCAGAGTGAAAACTCCGGTTTCAAATTCCTCCAGCGTCAGTGTGGAGCCGTGCACGGCATACAATTCATGGTAGGTCACCCATATAGTCTCGCTGCAGTTTGATTTTGTTTACTGATGCACGTGTTTACTGATGACGGCCTTCAAGAAAAGCCTGCCGCCTGACCAAGGCCAAACCAAACGATGTTGACTTTGACTTTATTATTATTATTATTATTATTATT